CCGCCGCCGCCGCCCCCCCCCAGCCGTGCCCCTGCGGGCCGGCGGCGCGGGGATGGGCGCGGGGCTGTGAGGGCGGCGTGAGCCGTGGCCATGGGGAACATCTCCTCCAACATCTCCGCCTTCCAGTCCCTGCACATCGTCATGCTGGGCCTGGACTCGGCGGGGAAGACCACGGTGCTGTACCGGTTGAAGTTCAACGAGTTCGTCAACACCGTGCCCACCATCGGTTTCAACACGGAGAAGATCCGGCTGAGCAACGGGACGGCCAAAGGCATCAGTTGCCACTTTTGGGACGTGGGTGGGCAGGAGAAGCTGCGCCCGCTCTGGAAGTCCTACAGCCGCTGCACCGATGGCATCATCTACGTGGTGGACTCGGTGGACGTGGACCGGCTGGAGGAGGCCAAAACAGAGCTGCACAAGGTGACCAAGTTCGCCGAGAACCAAGGTACCCCGCTGCTGGTCATCGCCAACAAGCAGGACCTGCCCAAGTCCCTGCCGGTGGCCGAGATCGAGAAGCAGCTGGCCCTCCACGAGCTGACCCCTTCCACCACCTACCACATCCAGCCCGCCTGCGCCATCATCGGCGAGGGGCTCACGGAGGGCATGGACAAGCTCTACGAGATGATCCTCAAGCGGAGGAAGTCCCTCAAGCAGAAGAAGAAGCGGTAGAAGCCCCGCGGACGCGGAGAGGGATGGGGAAGCAGACAAAGGAACCGAGGGGGAGAGAGAACCAAAGCGATTCTTTTGGGTTTAATCGTTATTATTATTATTTTTTCCTCTTTTTTCTCCCCCCGCCCCCCCTTTCCAAATGAAAAGACAATAGTGGTGACAACAAAGCCGCTCCCGCCAGCCAAGCCCACATCCCGGCTGCGGGCGAGAGCCGGGATCTCCCCTCTCCCACCGCCCCTTGCCGCGGACCACCGTCCTCCCAAGGGCCGGATCCGGATCTCCTGGGGCCCCTGGGCCGGGCTGGAGACGTGCTACCGGGCCGAGACCCCCTTCCGTCCTTCAAGACCACCGAGCTTTTTTTGTGTGCCGGGGGCGAACAGGGCAGGACCCTGTTGAAGTGCATTTGAGAGAAGCCCAGCGTGCTTCTGGATCTTTAACGTGGGGGGGGGGGGGGGAGGTGGTTTGGGGGGGGAAGGGCGGGACCGGGGGTGGGCGAACTTA